ATTACAGATGTATTTATGCTATCACACCTAAAGCAATTGCTGAAATAACAAGATATTTATAGCCAATAACTCAACAAAGACAAGAAAAAGGAATCACATACAAAACCATGTAAAGGCTTCGATAGAGCAATTACTGTTCCAGGATTCTACCCTGTCCCCATGTGTACAAGAATGATGACTGTCAGAGGAAAAACATAGAGCCAAACCTCAAAAGTACATGGAAGGGGTTAAATAGAAACTACTACAACAGTGGGAAAACTTCATTGGTAAAAGGAGTTTACAGGGTAAAGAAAATAAGCCTACTCTTTCATGAATTACAGGATTCCTAGTGACCTGCTTTCCTCCAGAGAGGATGAAGGAATATCTGGACATAAGTCCTTGTGTGTATGTGTGTGTGTTCACAAGACACAGGGGGCAGTTGGGTAGTGGGTTTGGGAGAGGATGCGCGAACTAGAAACAGTCGTTCATTATTTACATTCTAAAAGGGTGACACTCGTCTCTGGGTGGGCTTGAACCACCAACCTTTCGGTTAACAGCCGAACGCGCTCACCAATTGCGCCACAGAGACACGAGAGGACGCTGCTCTCTAGCCTCACCGAAAGCAAGCCTAACTACCAAGCTAGGCGGAGCCACCTGTCTCTCACAAGACAGCGGCTTCTGCTCCAAGCCTCGAACAGCCTTGGAAATGGAGTCCACTCAGCGCGTCGGATCCCGTGGGGGAAGCCAGGCGATGCCGAAGGCAGAAGGGCAGCCGAGCGTCTCCGCCCCACCTTGCTCCTCTCCTGCCTCAGATGCAGCGGCGGGAGACGCCCGAGCCTGAGCCGAGGGCGGCCCGAGGGAAGCTGAACGTCCGATGGGCTCAGTGATGCCTCCTTGTTTGCTATGCCTTTACTCAACCACCTGCGCCGCTGGGCAGCGGTTTAGTAGGTGAGGTCCGTGTGGCCGCAGCTGGAGAGAGATCAGATCCAAAGAGGAAAAGTGAAAAGCAGGGAGAACAAGAAAAGGCATGAATGAAACAAAGAGACCTCCCAGAAAACCTGTGAGGAGATTCAGGCCAGATCCTGAGAGAGAAAAATTACTTTTAGTAAGTAGCAGAATAGGGAGGGAGAATCAGAGAAAACATCAAGGAGAGAAAAGCACGAACTTCTGTAAGTGTACATAAACAAAACAGCAAAAACAGTGTGGTACCTTTATGTGGAGACCTGTCTGTGCAGTTATGACTGCAGATATGCAGGTCTGTGGTGATTGGGCTTGTATAGTGTAAGTGCTTCATTGTAGCAGCAGCAGCCTCGGTTCCAGTCCGGGCTATAGCAAGGTAGTGTCTATAACCTGTCTTTCCATTTGCCTTTTTTTTTTTCAGTTGACTTATAGTTGACTTACAATGTTCTGTTAGTTTCAGGTGTACAACAAAGTGATTCAGTTATACATACATATATGTCTATTTTTTCCAGATTCATTTTCCTTGTACATTACTACAAAATATTGAGCATAGTTCCCTGTGCTATACAGTAGGCCCTTGTTGGTTATCTGTTTTATATATAGCATGTGTATATGTTAATCTCAAACTCCTAATTTATCCCTCCCTCTTTTTCCCTTTAGTAACCATGTTTTGTATGTCTGCAGGGCCATCTGTTTTATATACAAGTTCATTTGTATCATTTTTTATTTTGTGTCTTAGATTCCTCATATAAGCGATATCATATGATATTTGTCTTTGTCTGGCTTACTTCAGTTAGTGTGACAATCTCTAGGTCCATTCATGTTGCTGCAGTTGGCATTGTTTCATTCTTTTTTACATCTGAGTACCGTAACAACTGTTTGCTTTTAATTCCAGCACCAGCTATGTCCCTTAGCAGTGGTGGGAGAGCAGAGTTTGCCACTGGCCTTGCCGTGATATACAATGAGAAGAGGAGTAAATCCCAAAGCGCACAAATCTACTGGTCAAAGCAAAACCTAGGACAATTACCTGTCTCACTGTTAAGCAGAACACATCCCCAAAGTTGAAATATCACCTCTCAAGGAGACTTGTCTATAGTTTGCACTAACGAAATAACATGGTCTTTGCTGACTTTTTCAGGTAAAGCTATTTCTTTTTGTTTTGTTTTTAAATTTATATTTAATTTATTTATTTTTAATTGAAGGATAATTGCTTTACAATATTGTGTTCGTTTCTGCCATACATCAACATGTATCAGTCATGGGTATACATACGTCCCCGCTTGATCCTCCCTCCCACCTCCGACCCCATCCCACTCCTTCAGGTTGTTACAGAGGCCTTGGTTTGAGTTTCCTGAGTAATACAGCAATTGTCCACCGGCTATCTGTTTTACATATGATAGCTTATATGTTTCCATGCTACTCTCCATTCATCCCACTCTCCCCTTCACCCCTCCCCCATGTCCATAAGTCTGTTCTCTATGTCTGTGTCTCTACTGCTGTCCTGCAAATAGGTTCCTCAGTACCATCTTTCTAGATTCCATATATATGTGTTAATATACAGTATTTGTTTTTCTCTTACTGAGAGTGAAGATATTTCTGACATCAGTGAGGGCTTTTTTTACACTAAAGGAAAACAAGTATTTAATGGCTTTACAATAAATGCAAACTAGTCCTCCCAGTCTATCTACAGCAACTAGTCTCCACTCACTTATTCACTGATTTTTATGGAAAGAGTAAATCATTGAACTATATTTTACATAGTATAATAAGTACACACCTTTAGTTCATAGGCAGTTTGTTGAATTTGGGCAAATGTAGTCATCACCCGGATCAAGTTATAGAAAACTCCTACCATTCTAGAAAGTCATTTGAGCCCCATTTCTAGACAATCCCTACACTAGATCGATTGCTAATTATTATTGTGAGGTCTATTGCAATAGTGTGCTGTTGCTTACTCTTGAAATTCAGATGAATGAATGCACATTTTTTGGTAACTTCTATTTTATGCAAAATTTTATTCATTAAACATATTCATATTATTATGCACATCACATTAATTTTGGTATTATTGGAGTAATTTTGGTGGGGATTTTCTGGTGTCAATTGGTGTTCTTGATGAATATTCTTAGTATTTTGATGGATATTCCATAACAGACTTTTTGTATACGTGTACATTCACAGAAGTTTTGCAATTGCTGGGTCATGGAGTTAAAGATTAACTTTATTAGAAATTGCCAACAGTCTTCCAAAATGATATCAAACCAACTACTTCAGATGCAATTGCTCCACATATGTCAACATTTGATGTACAAACTCTTTTCAATATAGTCATGCTGGAGGGTGTGTAATGATATCTCCTTATAGTATTAATTATTTCCCTAATGAGTAAAATTATTAAGAATATTTTGTTACAACTCCTGGTCATTAAAATATCTACCTTTGTGATCCAGGAAGACCCTGGCTTAGGTTTCCCAGCAAAAGGAAAAGGGGTGCTGTGATCTATCCCCGCAGTGCAGACAGATCCTCCAAAGTATCTCTGGTAGACAGAGATCCAAGTTAGAGTTGTTCCCAGGGGCCACTGGTTCTCATCCAATGGCTGGCCCAGCAAAAGCAAATGCTGCCAGCCTCCCAGGTTTTTGTCATCTCCACCCACTTGTCAGTTGAGCAGGGTGGAATATATTTTTAAAATACTCTCTTTCAATCTATTCATTCACATTCATTTCCCTGAGTAACTGGAATTTCCAATTCATCTCACTACCACAAAGAAAAACCTGTTACTGGTGACATAAGCAGAGAGTTCCTGTAAAAATCAACACCAAAATATCAATGCTCAGGCCCCAGGCATCTCCGGGTGATCTAGATAAATGCCCTGACTCTCCAGCTACTGCTGTTTGGAATCCCCGTGGTCTCTACCAGGCAGTGGGCATGTTTTCCCTTTTCCCTTGGACACTTGCTCAGAAGACCTGAGCAATAAATGTTATGTCCACTGGAGGGCAAGAGGTGAGCGAGGGAGTGGGGCTGGTGTATGAGGGGCGGGGGGCGTGGACCAAGCCTGCAGAGGGAGCAGTGGAAGAGACTGCACAGTGGCTGTGGGTGTGTGTGGCTCTGGAAGAGTTGCTGAAAGGCACTCAGGCTGGTGGGTGAGCGTGTGTGCTCTGCCTGTGTGGGGAGGAGCAGGAAGATTGGGAGATCTTTGCTAGAATTACTTTGCAGAGAGGGATTTGGTAAGGGTGGGAGAGGGGAGGAGGGTGACCCTGAAAGAAAGATGGTGGCTCATGGGATACCTGGCAGCAGAGATACCATGATCTTGAAGGGGCTTTATCCAGGGCAAAGGCTTGTCCATTGCCTCCATGTGGTGCTGAACTCTGTGATTTCCTTACTACTGGGAAACTCGACTTCAGAATTTCTGCTTGATAACCCCTAGATAGTAAAATGTGTATATTCATTTAGGTGAGTTTGAAGAAAGGACAAGCTTAAACTGTGGAGTGGCCATCAGAATAGCTTAGAGTAGCAGGGGATGGATAGGCATTACCCAGAAAATGTATCAAAGGGCCTCATCCATGTATCAAAGTGTATCATCCATACTTGGCTGATAAAAATTTTCTACATCTTTATCCTGGTAATGGTTTCACATCAAATAGCTGTTCATTTGTGCATCTTGTTCTGTGATTACACACCTTGATAATTTCCTTTTTGGATAGAACTGGCGGTCACATTTCAGAGAACCCAGTGTAGACCATTACCGGGTTTTAGGGAAAAAGGGAAGCAGGTAACAGGTGCAACCTAATGCCGTGACTCGGATTCGAACCGAGGTTGCTGCGGCCACAACGCAGAGTACTAACCACTATACGATCACGGCGCGCCACACTCAAAGCGACGACAACTAGCTTTGATCTATGGTATTTGACTTAAAATGATTCCAATCATTGCGTTGCTTTATTCTTGGAAACTGCAGGTATTCTTTTCCTCCCTTTCATCTCCAATCCCTGGTTTTCCATCTCTTCCTCTAAAATCCTGATACATGATGAGAAAACGAAACCAAACCGAAAACCTATTCTCACCTCCCCAGATCTGGCACGCTCTTTCTGGGAAGTCTGGCTGTCTTCGTCTCCACCTCGCCAGCTTTCCTGGCTCTTCGCGTTTGTACCTTTGGACCGACCTTCCCCACCAGCTGGTTCCAGCTCTTGCCCCACGGACCGCGGCCGATCGGAGCAAGGCAGCGCTGGCGGCGCAGACGGCTAGGTGAAGGCGGAGCAAAGAAAGAACCGTTACGAGCCCACCCGGAGTTCAGCTTCCCTCCGGCCCCCCACCCCCCACCCCGGCTCAGGCCCGGGGCATCTCCCGCGCGCTGCTTCTGCGGCGGGGACGCTCGGCGGCACTTCTTCCTTCGGAATCGCCCGACGCCCGGCTTGCCCACGGCTTCTTCAGTTGTCGGAGGCTTGGATCCGGCGCGGCTCTCCCGGGAAAGACGGGTGGCTCCGCCTAGCGTGGAAGGAGTGATCGCTCATTCATGGGGATGAGAAGAACCTGAAGTACGCGTATCTCTGTGGCGGAATCGGTTTGCGCGTTTGGTTGCTAAGCAAAAGTTTGGTGGTTCAAACCTACACAGGGACGCCTTGCCTGTGCGCACCTGTAAGTACTTAAAGGCTTTGTGGTTGTTTCTACTCCTCGCATCCCTTCCGGGAAAGGCCAAAAACGCCTCTTCTACCACCCTCCAGCTCCAAGAATGAGTGCAACGAGCAACTAACTATTCACGTTCCTCCTTCACTGTGCATGTTATAAACCCCATAACTCACCGTTGTTTTTAAAAATTTGTCCCATATTTCCAAAGAGATTTAAATCAAAAATCTTGTATTTTTCCCAGGCAGATGCCGTCTCTCTTTTCCTTCATCCCTGTGTGTACATCTAGATTTCCACCTCGTGGTGTTCTTCCTGGAGGGCTACTGTAACATTATTTGAAATGTGGGTTTGTTGGTGATGAAGTCTTTCAGCATTTGTATGTCTGTAAAGGTCATTATTCACCTTCATTTTGAAAGACTTTTGGGGGTGGGTAGTGATAGAATTCCACCTTTACTTTTTAGGCTTCTGTCCTTTAAAGAGGTTGCTCCACTGTCTTATCACTTCTATGCTTCTCTCTTTTTTTAAATCTTTGTTGAATTTGTTACAATATTTTTTCTATTTCTTTCTTTCTTTCTTTTTCACTTTTGCCACGAGGCATGTAGGATCTTAGCTCCCCAACCAGGGATCCAACCCACAACAAGGACCATCAAGGAAGTCCCTCACTTACATGTTTATGATGAAAAATCTATGTCTTTATTTTTGCTTCTGTAGATACTGGTCTTTTTCCTCTGGTCTCTTGGGGATTGTATTCTTTTTCAAAGGTTTTGAGCATTTTAATTATGATGTGACTAGGCATGGTTTAGTTTAGCACTGTGGGGCTCATTTATTTTGTTCATTTGGCTCCTTGGATTGGTGGGCTTGTAATCTTTACTACAATTGGAATTATCTGACATTGTTCCTCCAAACACTATTTCTTGTCCCTGGGTATTTTCAGAAACATTAATAACCTATGTATCATCTCTTTTAATGTTGCCCTACCATTAAGTGACACTGTTTTCATTAAAAACATTCTATTTTGGGGTGAGTTTCCTGTTGGAAACAACTGTCCTTGACTTTGTGTTCCCTAATCTTGTTCTTTTTTTTTGCAATATTTAATCTGCTGTTCAATCTGATTGTCTTGGATGTTACAGTTTTCATCTCTGAAGTTTGATTTTTGGCCATTTTTGTATATTCCACACTTCTAATAAACTTTGGGGACATATGCACACAGTCACAATAACTGTTTAAAGTCTCCTCTGCTGATTTTTATATCATGTCAGTTCTGGTTCAGTTTTGGTTGATTAATTGATTCATTCATTCATTAGGAGATTTCCTCCCTATCTGCTGTTTTCCTGCCTCTCTGCATGACTGGCATTCTTTGGTAGGAGGCCAGACATAATCAAAATTCCCCTTTCTGGACACTGGCTATTTTGATATTTTTATAAATCTTCTTGAGTTTTACTCTGGGGTACAGTTGAGTGACTTGTAAATGGTTAGATTCCTTTGGATCTTGTTTTCCTGATTTTTTAGGTAGGTCAGTCTAATGCTAATTATTCCCATCACTGTAAAAAGAGTTTCCTGACCAATGGTCAATGAACTACAAGTAGTCCAGTCTGTCTGGGGGGATCGAATACAATTGTTTGTTCTGTATGAGCACCAAGTATTGTTCCAGGACCTTTTTAAAAGCTTCTTTCCTTGGTCACAGGTACTTTCCTCATAACCATACCCTGATCATTACTCTGCTGAGTACTTGTGTGAAACCCTTTCACATCCCTGGATTCTCTCTCTTTCCCCCACCCACTCTCTCTCTTATCACTGGACCTTTTTTTTTTTAATGTTTCTTTTTTATTATTTACTTTTATTGGTGAATAGTTGCTTTATGATGTTATGTTAGTTTCTACTATACAGCAAAGGGAGTCAGCTATACATATACACATATCCCCTCTTTTTAAGACTTCCTTCCCATTTACGTAACCACAGAACATCAAGAGTTTCCTATACTATACATTGGATTCTCATTAGTTATCTATTTTATACATAGTATCAATAGTGTATATGTGTAAATTCCAATCTTCCAATACTAGCCCCCTGTTCCCCTTTGATACCCAAATATTTTTTTTCTACATCTGTGTCTCTACTTTTGCTTTCCAAATAAGAATCACTGGATCTTTGTCCTGTGAACTCTAGTTGCCTTACTCTCCACCAAGACTCAGCTTCATTTTCACAGTCCAAGGAGTTGACTTCAGATCCCTTTCCTGGTGCCCAGCCTAAGAATTCTCTGAAAGCAGTAAGCTGGCCCAGCGGTAGAACTCATCTTGTTTGTTTCTCATCTCTCAAGGCTTTTGTCCTTTGCTGCCTGATTTTCAGTGTCTTGGAAACCAATATTTCATGTCTTTTTTTTTTTTTCTTTTGAGGGTGGCGAAAAGGGGGAAGAGTGAGATTTAGGCAGGAGGATTTAAATCAGATTTAAATCTGATTCCTGACACTGCACCTCTGCCAGAAACTGAAGGCATCTCTTTATGTTCTTAATTTTATTCAATAGTTGTGCTAATTTATATTCCAATGTATTTTTCCAACTCAAGGAATGAGTGTTTTTCTTCATGGTCTTCCCATCACAACAAACTTTCTAATCGTGGATCTATTATTCTGACAAGGAGAGGAGCGACCTACTGACTCAGCTTAGTGGGAGGTACAATGGAAGGACAATGTGGGCATTACCCAGAGATGCTTTGCACATGTTCAGCAGCTTAACTGCCAAGATGTCTGGAAAGTATTTCAATAACTATAATTGTTTTCAGTGGTGACCTACATAATTGAGTCCAATGAAAACCAGTCAGAATAACTCTGAAAAGCTTCTTGCAGAGCAGCTTATTGATTAAAGAGAAAATACAACAAAATCCACTGGCCCCAGACATTTATTCTCTTCCCTTTCCTTTATGAGTTGCATTTTTGCTTTGGTGGGATGCACAATCTAATGAGGGATCTCCCTCCAATATCGTTTGCATGGCCATGACTGTCTTCATAAGACACCTTGACAGGTGTGGCTAAATCTGCCAAGATTATCTCATTTGAGACAAATTGCTGCAACTGACAGAATCCTGCACCTGATGATACATCTTGTGCAAACCTGGATCCTTACAGAGTTATTGGTTCACCTTCCACTGATTCCTCTCTTGAAGCTCATGAGGAAACAGGAGCTCTTTGAATTTTCTGTACTCAATCTAGGATGTCTCTAGGTTCTAGGGCATTTCTCTCTGCCTTCCTCTCTCCCTCTTGGAGTGCGTGCCCTTCTGTCTCTCTCTGTCCCTTATACTCTAGGCTGCTGTGGATCTTACCCACTTTCTCTCCTCCTTGTCAGTTTTATGGGACTGTGCATTAGGATTCTTTCAATAAGCAAGCACTTACTAGGTGCTCACCAGGTACCAGGCCCTTCTCCAGGAAAACCACTGTATCAGGAGCAAAGTCAAGGTCCCAGTCCTTGCTGCACCCATACTGGGAGGCATCAGAAGAAGATTCACACATATGCACACAAAATCACATGGGAGCACAATCTGTCACGTCCTTTCCAGGTTCATCCACCTTCCAGGGCCTAAGGGCCCCAGCAGTGAGTAAAATAAGAATTTCATAGCATGTGAAAATGCGTGACTTGAGATCTATAAGACAAGTAACCAAGAATCGAGATTTAAAAAAATAAATAAATGAGTACCTCAGGTAAACAACAGGTCCCAGGTCCTTACTTCCCAGGTCCTTAGACAGTCTATGTGTTTTACACTTTTTCAAGTAACATTATGGCTACATTCAGGAAATTTCCTAAAGTTACCCACACATTCTCTTAATCTGTTAACCTATGACCATCCTATAATCTATAAAAATATGAGGCAGCATTATATTAAAACAGTATTTTATTATTTCTACCTTAATTAGAAGTTCTTCAGACAAAGATTATACATTAATTAAACCAATTTAACATCAGTCAAAGAATTTAAAGTTAACAATAGATCTTAAAAATCACAAATTGAGCTGAACTGTAACAGAGAAATGCAAGTTGGAATTATTATTAGATGATACTTAAAACACTTACCCCTAGATTTTAAGTGGAATAATTAAGGCACTCTGATTTCTAGAATTATAAGACTAATCTTCATTGCAAAGATATTATGTGGTATATTTAATATACTGGGACACATAATTTTAAATTTTATAAATGTAAATACTTTTTGGAATTCTAATTTGCTTAAGGGAAACTAAAACCAACATAGGAAATTTAAGTACCTCACTTTCATGAGGATTATGAATAGAAAATAAATCCAAGACTTGTAAAAACTAGAATACCATGCCACCAATATTTTCCACATTGTTAGAAAATCTGAAAGTCAACATGAAGTAGTTTTTAGGCCAAAATTACTAAACCAGTGTGATGCATACAAGGAGTCATCTCTGATATTATAGATAACAAACATTTTCTATGCAATTAATTATATACCAATTATTAGAATTCTCTAGAGTGTTAAAAGTATTTTTATATTCATCCTTATTATCAACTTGCTTTCTTTTCTTGTACCTAGGGTGGAGAGCACTAATTTATCTAAAGCTAAACCTTTTTTATATTCCTGAGTTACATTTCAGCAAAACAGAAAGTTCAAGGAAAAGAAAACAAACCCACATGGTTTCTATCCACTGAAATTCTGGAAATAGAAGGTGGATCACTACCCACCTTGGAGAGAGGCAGAATATGTGCGGTAAAGCAGAGTGCCTCTGTGCTTGAATTCAGACTGGACCTGGGACTGGGTCAAGGCCAGGACAACACAAGACTAAGCATTATTGTCATGGGGCAGCACCCCACCAGATAGCAATCACACAATAGTTCTGGAAAGCTCTTGAGG